ACGGAATAGAACTCAATCCGGTAACCGGCTGGTTTAAGTATTGAACTAGCCGTCAAGAAAAATGAAAAATACAGCTTATAAGATTCCAACTTTTTATACTCCTTAATTTAATTAAAATCACGCATTTACCACTATCGATCTAAAATTGAATTCGATAACACTACATTCGATCACAAGATATATATATATATATATATAGCAATATGTAGGTTCAGAGTGATTTAAATTTTTTTGGTTTTATGCTCTTTAAATTCCTATGCGTGAAGTATAAAATAAGAAAGGAATTAATGGAAAAATGGGATCAGTTTATATTTCAAGAGTTCAGTAATTTTAAAACATAATCTTTAAAAGAGATAAAATGTAATTTATATATTACTATTGAGATATATATTGCAAAATAATTTTATATTAAAGTGCAATAATCCATCAGGATTAAGAAGAAATTAAAAGGGGGGCCGCAAGTCATTTTTCCTCAGATTCATGCATGCACACTGAAGAGGACCGCAAGTCATTTTCCTCAATTTCACAAGGGTGTTTTCTTTCCGAGGCACTTGGACGTTGTGTTTTTTCAATGTTCGTGTTCCTCGCCCCTTCTCGGATCAACTCGCGGAATATGATTGCCACTTTTTCGTTCCTTGCTCAGGTCCCGGAGTGAATTGACAATTTGCTGTTAATAAAACATGCGTCTTCGGGAATTCTAGTTTTAAATAAAAAACTACAAGGCAAAAGTTTCCTAAACTTCAAGGCAGCGCCAGCGTAATGAATCAGAGTTCTCTCTCTGTGTATAACCTTTTATTTTACCCGAATTTTTTGCCTTGATATCTCTCTTGTTGAATTTTTTTTATCATATAACTAATGATATTGTTTTAAGATTCAGATTGCTCCGGCGAACCCAAGGCATAGATTAGCCATGGTTAGAAAAAATAATAATAATAATTCAGGGTATAGAAATAATAAAAGAATTCAGGGTATAAACCCGATCATGATAAAAGAAAAGATAACACCAATTAATAAGCCACCTTAAACAAAAATGAATTATCATAATAAAAGAAAAAAATTACCAAAATAAAAAAATAACGAAGCTAGAATTCTAACCAATAAAAAAACTAAAAAAAAAACCCTGATCAGAGCCAAACCAAATGATTAAAAAATGGATTAAAGGAAGAGGACCGCAAGTCATTTTCCTCAACTTCACAAGGGTGTTTTCTTTCCGATGCACTTGGACGTTGTGTTTTTTCAATGCTCGTGTTCCTCACCACTTCTCGGATCAACTCGCGGAATACGATGGCCACTTTTTCGTTCCTTGCTCAGGTCCCGGAGTGAATTGACAATTTGCTGTTAATAAAACATGCGTCTTCGGGAATTCTAGTTTTAAATAAAAAACTACAAGGCAAAAGTTTCCTAAACTTCAAGGCAGCGCCAGCGTAATGAATCAGAGTTCTCTCTCTGTGTATAGCCTTTTATTTTACCCGAATTTTTTGCCTTGATATCTCTCTTGTTGAATTTTTTTATCATATAACTAATGATATTGTTTTAAGATTCAGATTGCTCCGGCGAACCCAAGGCATAGATTAGCCATGGTTAGAAAAAATAATAATAATAATTCAGGGTATAGAAATAATAAAAGAATTCAGGGTAAATGCAATTCAGGGTATAAACCCGATCATAATAAAAGAAAAGATAACACCAATTAACAAGCCAACTTAAACAAAAATGAATTATCATAATAAAAGAAAAAAATTACGAAAATAAAAATATAACGAAGCTAGAATTCTAACCAGTAAAAAAACTAAAAAAAAAAAAAACTTGATCAGAACCAAACCAAATGATTAAAAAATGGATTAAAAAATTATTAATTTTAGGATTAAAAAATTTATATAATTTTATTTCTTAAATTTCAATGGATAAGAAAAGAACATATATACTTTAACCACGAGTTCAACCTCCTCAAATCCATAACTTGATTAATAGGCAGCAAGGCGTGTTGATTTCATGCATTCAATGTATTTCTTGAATCTAGGGTTTTTTCGTTATTTGAAGAATCAAGAATTTAAACGAAAGCCTTTACAGGGTGCCATTAAAAGCAATATTTCTTTCCTTGACGCAGAACTCTCCCCACGTGTCCCGTGGCATATAAATGTATCCCAGTTGCATGTTCGTGCCTTGCAACGGCAATGTTTTTAGAGCACACTGTACCGAGTCCCGGTCGGCCGGACCTCGCCTCATATATCATTTATTTATTTATTGTAATTCGGTTTTATCTTTTCTTCGAAGGTAGGGAAGACGGCAACGCCAAGCTTGCACGCCTCCGCTCGCTGCAAATTGTTGTCAACAAGCTAAGCGAGGAGCTGTATTTGGTTAAAACTTAGCATGGATCCAAGGACTGGGATTGTTATATATATTGATCACATGCCATTTTGCAATCTAGTATATCGAGTAAAAAAAACCCATGCACGCAACGGAGATAAAAATATATATTTGCTTTGGAGAGACAACAAATATATATATATATTAAAAACAAACAACTATTCAAGCATATCAACGTTGGATTTAAAAACCTCGGTTTAGTATGATAAAAGTAATTGTTTTTTCCCTGTTTTTGAACTTCTTGAGAGTATGCTGACGATGTTCGAATATTTTTTATTTAATGTTTTTAAAAAATTGATTCAATCCTTGACATATCACAGCATGGGAAATAATCTATTACTGTAGCCCATCCCTGTTTTTGAATGTTTCTACGCCTCTACCATTGACTATCGGGATTCCGCTCGATGCCAGGTCACTAGATTAGATCGGTTTTGTATCTGATATAACCTTAAAAAAAACCGAATGAAATCATCATCGGAAAGCGCAGGAAATGGGCGAGTGTGAAATCAGGCCTTTAAAGCGAGAGGGGTCTTGTTTTCTTTTTGGACTGGGATTTGATGGACATTGAGCTTAATCTAGACTGGGCCTGTACTTTGTATTTCCACTGAGCCGAAGGAAATATCCGCTTGGGCTCTATTTAAAAAACTCAGGAGGTAGTGGGCCTATACTTTAATATTTAGTTTATGGGCCTCTCTTTTTGGTCTTGAATGGGCTTTGGACTTTGGAAATATGTAACGCACCGCATTTTTTTATTTCTTGGTGTTTAGCGGTGAAGTCAAAATACTGTTAATCTAAAATTTGATTTGATTTTTTTTTTTGTTAAAGCAAAGAAAAAAAACACTCTAACCAAACATGCCCTAAATAATAAAAAGGAAAGCCACCGACTGTATTTCCGAAAAAGAGAAGGAAAGAGACGCCGAGGTGATTGAAAATTTGAAAACGGAGAAGGAAGACGGCGATGCGCATCTCACAGTTCAAATTGAAGGAACATGCCTGCACAGCTCCTCGTTTTTGCAAAATGACCTTAATGCGATGACGTTTCTGTCTGCATCACGGTCATCGCAGGCTATCTCGGTGCTGGCAAATCCACTGTAAAATCCCCTTCAATCTTCATAAGTTTATCGCTATATGCATAATTCTGTTAATGATTATTGAGAAGCTGTCTCATTCATTTATCTAGGCTTGTTTTGGTGTATTTATATATCTGTGTATTTATTGATTCACTTCTTCTTGCAGAAGAAAACTGAGTGTTAGTACTTGTAATGGAATCCAATGCTTCTTTTTTTTTTTCTTTTTTTTCAAATAAATATTAACAAATTATTGAAGTTACATTTCAGGTAATCTGTGGTTTAATATATTTCCACTCACGATTGGTTTAGCTTGTTAACCATATCTTTAATCCTCAGCATGGAAAGAGGATTGCTGTCATTTTGAATGATTTTGGGAAAGAAATTCGAGTAGAAAGGGAAATGATAAATGAAAGAGAAGGTGGTGCTCTTTTCGATGAGTGGGTTGAGCTTGCAAATGGTTGTGTGTGTTGCACTGTTAAGCGTAGTTTTGTTCAAGCGCTGGAGCAACTTGTTCAGATGATGGGAAGGTTCTGCTACTTTCTAAATTCTTTAATTAATGCATTTGATTTGCCTTCATCTGTCTCCATTGTATGATCGACTTAAAAGATGACACTAGATTGCTTTGTTGTCTTGTGCCATTTTTTTAAATTTTTTGTGTCTGATTTTTCAATCATACTTTTCTCTTTTTTTTTTCAATTTCGTGATTTTGTCCTTCCCCTGCTTCGCGACAGAAAAGGACATGTAGAGTAAAATAACATTATTCATTGCACAATTGCATTCATCGGCTTGTTTCCCAGGATCATTCTAGGATCCTCTTACTATATGTTGGGTTTCTAGTGAAGAAAAGGAGAGGGTGTGAATATGTGAGGTAAGCATCTTCTTGTTTGAATATATGGGCGGTAGAAGGAGACGACCCCTTCTTTTAGCTAGAGGGAGCAGGAAAGATAATAAAAGTGAAAGTATCCATCATTGTTGGATACGGGTTCCTTGCCCTCCTTAACACCCTAATTTTGGGTCTTGGATTTTTATTTTTTGATGGGATTTGGGGTTATGCAAATTCTGCAATCCCCGTTCCTTTTACTTTCAAAAACCTCCCAAAAAAATTGAAGAATTAATACCCTTCTCTTCCCTTCCCATTTCTCTTAAACCTTCCCATCCTTACATAGCGTTTCTGGAAACAAGAGCTTGTCAATGAAATTCCCTTGATCAACACTGTTAGGCTTATAAGTACTGTTGCAACTAAGCTATCAAACGGGGAAAAAAAAAAACAAAGAATGAAAGATAAAGCTCTCCAAAACATCTCTATGGTGCGAAGTCCACAATCATTGACAAAAGGTTAATATAAAGCACGGGTGCAATTTGAAAAATTTAAATTGAAGTGATCAATTTTTAACACGTAAAAATCAAGATGGCAACCTTCTAAAAATCAATTAAAGTTTGTAGTTATTATAAAATTAAACTATGATTTTTTTTAATGTTTTTATTATTTTACATATAGTTACCCGTGATTTCCCTGCAATAAACTTAACCGCACAGAAAACAGAGAAGGAGTACAGATCTAAGATCAGAAGCTATTGAATAATAATTAAGAAGAAAGGAAAAAAAAAAAAAAAAAGGGACAGGAGAAATGAAGGCATTTTTACAAGGTGCAGACTATAAATTGGGACTCTAAATTGAATGCTGGGTAGCAAAGAGCGTGAAAAATGAGGAGCACGTACCTGCTGTCCATTATATATACACATTAATATCGATTGCATGAAAAGCTATATGCACAAATCATCGAAACGCAGATTTGACATAAATACCATCTTCTAGTGTAAGGGCGCATTAATGTGGGCGACAGATACCTGATGCAAAAGCACATGCATATCAACGTCGGATACTGCAGGCCAAGGGGTTGGATTGGAAGAGGCTCAGTGAAGTGGACTCACTACGGGCTAAACAAAATAAAGTTCGCCGTCCTGCTCACGGAACATGGGCCACCACAACAATGTTACACCATCTCTGCACTACATAAAGTGGGAAGGTTTAGTTTATAGACCATTTTTAACCCAATTAAAGGGAGGCTGCTTGAACACTCGGGAATAATAGGATATCCCGTCATTGCACGCTAACTAAAAGAACATGAAAAAAACGCAACAAGCATCGATCATTTCTACATCTATTAGAGATGTTAAAAGAAATCAACCATAGAATACGTGCGTGCAATGTCGAAATTAGAATCTTTAAATCCAGATGCTCTATTAGAATAGAGAAATATGGGTGATGGAAAAAAAAAAAAGCAATAAAGTATTTACACTAAATCCTTTCATTAACTAGGAGATTTTGGTGGTCGTTAATCACTCTCTTCAAATTGCTTCTAGCCACGCATCCTTTCCTCTCTCCAAGTTGCTTCTAACCACATTCTTCCGCAATAGCCTTTTGGGTACATCATAAAAGAACATAAGAAAGTGTTCAGTCTTGATCACCACATACCAACTATTAGATCGATTGTTTTAGAGGGTGCTCTATGACCTTGTTCTTATGAGGTGAAAAACCTCTGTTGCTTTTCCAGCCAAATAAAATTTCACAAAAACAACTAAGCACAATAAATCTCAAGCAATAGGAGAGGTTAATGACGGTGGTAATGATGCATTGCCACCGGGAAACATGCACACATCACAAGCGTGATATATAGACCTACCACCACAGTATATCGGGTAGAATCTGTCTAGCCAATCCTAAGATATTTAAGTGTTAGTTAATAAAAAAAAGGACACCTATTAATAAAACTAAAAAATTGCAATAGAAGACAGAAAACACACGCTGTAGAATAATCGATCTCAATAGTCTTTTGCTTGCCTCTTCTCAATGGTTTTTCTACAACAAGTATAACCTTCTTTAATCATACAATCTTAAATACAAAAGTCCTTAAACTTTACTAACAACCAATATCAATTATCAATTTAGAGTTTTGACAAGCAAGAAAAATCGATGCATGGATTTTGTAGTCTAGCCCGCTGGATGCTTTGTGCATATCAAGAATCCATCCTCCATTGTTTTCTTTTAATTAGAAAAAAAAAATCATGATGCAAATATTTTTTAAAAAATTGACTTAAGTTGATTTGATTTTTCATATCTGATTAATTATATAAATGTTTCATTTGTTGTCTAATCTTAGTTTTGTATAATACTAATAATATTTAGTATGTATTTTATTTTATGGTAGTTTTTGTGTTAGTGATTTAAAAAAAAATATGTTTTGTTATGGTTTAAAAAACATATATATTTAGTTAAAACTATCATCAGATAAATTTTTGGTCAATGAAAAGCAGAATTTCATGAATAAAGAAACATATTATTTTAGATTTTTTCAAAGCAAAAAAAAACAAATTATTTGGCTAACCAAAAAAGTTTTTTTTCCCTCTGATTTGATAAAAAACAAAAATTATAAAAATACTAAAAAAAATCTCTTAATAAGAATCTACATTACCTTTTATTTTTAAAGAAACATGTTGAAAAAGATTATTATTGTCATTTCAATAAAATATAGCCCGCGGGAATAAGATTTGTAGAGTGAATATAAAATCACTCATTTTCTTTATGGGTTTGCGGTTTAAAATACTCTGCAAAAAAATCTTATAATTTGATCAGGGAATTTTTTCTTGAAGAGCGCAAATAAAAAAAAAATTAAACTACGACAACTGGTTAAAAAATTGGGAAAACATCACATTTTTGTGAGTTGAGTTATTGGAAATAGAATAGCACAACTAAGGTGCACTGATGGGAGTAACGCAAACTAATTGAAGTTCGAAAAACATATATTAAAGGGTGGCGTTGCTTCTAGGAACGCAATCCTTAAAAATAACAATAAAATTCTCAAAGGCTGCGATACCAAAACGAGTATATAGCATAGGACATATATTTTTTAATTAGATGAACAATTTAAAGTTTAAGAAAGATTTGGTCGACGTTTCAAATAATAAATCTGATAAAAACAAGTATAATTTTTAATATAATTATTAGATCAGATTCTACAAGCTAATTTTATAGTGGATAGACTCTCTATAACTTGTTGAGACTTGCAAGATTTTCAAATTAGGCTAAAAAATTACAATTTTTGACAATATTATTAACTTTATATTTAATTTCAGATTTTTATCTTAATTTAGTACTCATTTGTGCCACAATTATGAAGTGAAAAAAATTACAGGTTGTGTTATTTTTATTTTTAAGGATTGTGCCATTTTTAATAGCATATTTATTTATTTATTTTTAATTTATTGCAGTAACGAGAGTAGCACAACAATTGAATTGCAGTACTACTGCTAACATCGTCTTGGTTGTATTTTTTTTCCTAATTGTGGCATTTTGAAAAGAAAAAAAAAACTATTGATCATTTAAGAAAATATAATTTGTCTCAGTTCAGGAAACAGTATACAATAAATGACTCGCGCAAACAGAATATTCGAGGAATAATTAGAGATAACTAAACACTATACGTCTATCTATATAAATACATGGGATCTAGACATGTAATTACATAACCAAATCCCCCGAAAACTAATCAACTAATCAAGTTGCTAGCGTGAGGGTGCCCATGGCAACTGGAGCATGTAAACTACTACTACTTCATATACGACCTAGAGGGTTAAAGTTGGTTCGCAAGAACAAAAATACTTCCCTATACCATCCTAGATTCTCAAGTATGCTTTAAGGAGTACTTTTGCTGGCCATTTTCCGTGGATGCTAAAGAAAAAGGAAGCTTGATTAATTATTTGGGGACTTCATGAACTGACCTTGGAGAGGTTTTATAATATGTGCAATTAGATATCCAATTTGTTGCACCGATTTAACTATGGCAAATCACCAAATGTAGGGTGCTAGAACTATTTCTCCCACTGATGTTTGATTTTTGGATGAGAATTGATTTTAGAAGCGCGCTATTGATGTACATGTGCTCACTCTCACACACGCCAAGATTGCAAATAATGGAAAAGGTAATAGATATTCATGCAAGCACGGTATATTGAAGCATGTTAAGCTTATATATCAATTCAAGGCAGGTAATGTGTACCGTTCTCAACCTGATCATCGCATTCCAGGAGGCACAATATCCCCAAGCAGTCCATCTGTTGCCAGTTTGGGAGTTGGTGTTGACGACACTGTACTGCATTCTCTTGCTTCAACCGGTAATGGCCGTGACTGTAGCACAGTACTCGGAGGATTTTCTCGGGGTAATTGCATTCCAGGGTAAATAAATTGCGACATTGGAGGAGTCATGTGACTAGAAAATGTAGCTTGATGACAAATGATTCCTCCTCGAGGAAAACCAACAGTATGGTGACAGTGCTGGCCTTCATATGTGGTAATCACAATGGTGGAATCTTCAGACGACCGTTCAACCCTTTTCTTCACAGTGCATTTGCTATTTGTGCAGCGATAGTAGCTCCTGGGGCATATTTATGGGTGAGATGGAGCAAAGCAAGAGATTAAGCTTTTAATATTTTGGTATTGATTTTCCAGAGAACATCAACTATGCATCAGAAGTAAAAAAAAAAACTTTAAAACATAAAGATAATTGTATTTGGAATTGGAATTGGATAGTAAATTAATAAGAAAGGAGACCTAGGAAATGGACTATTTTTAACTGCCTTCTGTCCATATTTCCGCCATCTGTATCCATCTTCAAGATGATCAACTTCGCTTTTGGTCATAAATGCAAAACGTGGCTGCCGGATCCTTTTCTGACCCTTCTTTTTAACCGTACTCCTACAAAATATTTCACCTACAATTATCAAAATAAACACAAAATCCTGAATTTTTTTTTTAAAAAAAAAGATGAAGTAAATGCATGTCTTAATTCATGATTGACAGCAAACATATTAATTAGACACTTTAAATTATCTTTCAGTTATATTATTTTTCTCTCTGGAAATTAATAGCCTACTGATTAGCCACAATAAGATCAATTCAGTCTAAAAACTTGTAAAACTCAATAGCGCTACACAGAAAATTAACTTGGAAAAGAAAATCTCAAGCCCTCTGGCATAAATGATATAAGATTTCAAAAGTAATATATGTTGTTTATTAATTTATAATATGCAACAATATTGTAATTTCAGTTTTTTCAACTGACTGACCAATATTACTAGCTAGAGAATGATAGAAGAGCTAGGTGTGAGGCATGATCGATCGTTTATGGTTTAGGATCATGCATGACGAATACAATTATGATAAATTAAGAAAAAATTTCAAGGCATGAACTCCATCCACTATATGCATTAAAGTATCAGTAAAGAATGAGAACGTTAAGATAGTAGCTTGAAAATAACTAAGCAAAAACGAAGCATCAATATATACTAATTCATCAGAAGAGCAAATGCGCAATGCAACTGGGCAGACACGTTTCGCGTTATAAATGATTATAATCTACACCCCCACTATCCTAAGGGAGATGAATATAGAGCATAAAACAAGCTGCAGACGATTTCTGTTTTGGAAAAAGTAGAATAAAATCAGGAGAGAATCTCTATCTAACTTGTTCAAACAAAAAGTAATGACCAAGTAAATCAACAGAAGCAACCTTTTCCCTATATTCTCTATCTCTTTGATAGTGTTTTACGTTAACAAGAAAGATAATCCCTATTTATTAATGCTGAAATAATTATTCTTCAAATGTACATGCAGTGTTAAAAGTTAGAGAGCACGGCATTCCCGCCGCAATAACGGCGGGGGGGATGGGGGCATTCCCGCCGCAATAACGGCGGTGCTCATGGCTTCTCTCACTTGTGCTTCTCATTTGAACCTTTTCCATTTAATTACCTCATCTAACCCCACACTTCTCTCAAATTACGAAACTGCCTCATAACAGCTCGCATGAACCAGATCACATCTCCTTTTTTATTTTGACAGTTTCTATATCGTACGAACGCGCAAATCGCGCACACGCACTCTTGCAAGCAAAAAACATAAAGTTTGCAACTAGGAGGACAATTCGATTCTTTTACTGATTTTATCCCTCACTACTTTAGGTGCAAAATCTATCTATCGTTTCTCCCCTTGAAATTCGAGTTATTTACACTATTAACCAAGATTTTCATGGCTATTAGATATCCAAACAATTGAACTCACGGTATCTCAGGCGGTTTCCCGCCGGAGTCCGTAGACTTCTCGGGTGGATCCTCGCTGGAGCTCGATGATACTGATGGATAGTTCGTAGTCGAACCGTCACGACTGCCTCTACCACCAGACCTTGCCGGACCAGCTGCTGATGATCGCTGAATCTCTAGGTTTCCTGCCGAATCGGACCTCTCTTCTGCTTCTACCCGATCGAGGTCCTTAAACCGCGACGGTTCATCCGATTGAAGATTCCATCCGAATTCGCTGAGTATGGAGTTCTCACGATCGTTGGAGAAGAAATAATTGACACCATCTGAGTCATGACCGAATGTCCAGCTTGACTCGCTGGTGAACTCGGTCCCTGGATCAAGGTTATCTCTATCGTCCATTGAATGATCTGCAGAGATCTATTGAAAAAAGAAATGAATTTTGGAAGAGAATTGAAGAGTTGATTCAAGTGATAAAAAGGAGAGAGTGAAAAGGCCGAAAAGATAGGAGGGAGAGCGAGTGAGGTTTTTAGAGAGGGAGAGAGACTTAGGGTTTTGGGGGGGAGTGTGATAAGAAAGGAAGTTCGTTGTGTTGGGAAAGACGCGTAGTTTTTGAGCTCTCTTTTTAAGGGTTCGAAGAAAGGAAACTTTCTGTCCCGTCAAAATACATAAATCTTTTCTTCTTCTTTTTCACCGAAAAGATTCAAGGAGGGAGAAAGAAAGAGATAAGATAAAGAGATGGGAAAATTAGGAGGGGCGTCAACAGCGAAAATACTACGGGAGGCCGCTATTAGGGGATGGAGGTGCAGGTGGGTCCCCCACGCGCATGAATAAATAGTACTGGTACTCCATCGTAGTTGCAGTACAGGATTGATCAGTTACTTTCCGACAAGAACGTAGAGCCCTGTTTTTTTCCGTTCTTCTCTTCTTGACATGGGTGCTGGTTCGTTGCGTTGGTATCTCTTTCACTCCCTCCTTGTCTCCTATGAAGCTTTAAAAACATTTGTATTTTGTTGTTTTAAGATCTGCCTATATCCCACGGCATATATATTCACATGGAATGGAACAGCTTGCCTAATTTGCTAGCTAGTTTTTTAACTTGTTTAATTAATTTCACCTTTTTTCTCCTTTCCGTAATTTGTCTCAGGGTAATTTGACTGTGAGAGGGAAAGAAGAGGGCTCCCTTGAAGGTGTCATGGCAAGATGAAGTAAGAGGCTACCATCCTTCTCTGTCTTACTATTCGAGTTTGGTACGTTGTGGTGGGTTCTCTCTAATGCTGACTAACTGAACAGACAAAGAAATTAGTGGTAGGTTCTAAAAGATGATATTATTGCGCTGAGATAACTTGTTCGGTTTATAGGAATCGCATTAGCCTTTGTAGTTTTATTTAAAGGAATCTAAAGCCTTGAGAAGGAAGAAAAGTAGAAAACAACGCATATTTGACCGACTCCACTGCCGAAAAATAAAAATAAAATTCAAAGATAATGTTTCTGGGCTGGACCAGCTTGTTTAATAAGAACCACACCATTTTATTCGAGTTAGGAAATTAGGACCGGCCATGAATACTAAATTTCATAAATCATTGACATAAATATACATATACTAGGTGTAAGACTTCTCATGATTCGTGAGAGTTGTTCAGACAAGAGCTTTATCCATGAAAAAAGTGGTCAAGGAAGTTCTGTATACTACACCTTGCCGTACGTTGCGTAATTTTCCATTAACATAATCTGATCATGAAACTCTCTACTCGTGCCTCTCTTGTACAAGGAACTTTGAATATTTGAGGTCTTCCTAACTATATATATATATATATAAAGGGAAAAAAAAGACAAGCTAAGTTTGCTCTTAACCGTCAATTTAATCAGGTTCAATGCTTAAATTTTTAGGGAAAGCGAAAAAAAGGTTAGGACGTTTTGAGAGGAGAGTATCGACCAAACCCACAGCTAAATGATAGGTATTCATGCCCCTAGATAGGAAAGAAGACGAAAGAAACAAAGATAACAATCTACATATATAGTTCAAGCAAGGGAATAGCCATGGAACAACAATGCTTAATTGTGCTACATTATTTATCATTGTCATTAATTATCTGTTTTTTTTTTCATAAAAAGATCCTCTAGTGTGAAAATAAAAAAAGTCGAACATTTCAATAATTTGATTTAAGGCCTTGGCCCACCAATACAACGATTGATGTTGATAACAAAACTAAGTTTTGGGATTCATTAATTTGATCTTATTAAATAATGCGCAATATCTTTTAAATACATAAATCGAAAAATAATTGCTCGGGTTTTATCATATAATGACCAGTTATGATGACAACATTGATCATTTCACGTTGGGTTGTGAGCTTGAAATGGATAGCCCTATCTTAGCCTTCTTGAAAGCATTTGAAAATGGGATTATTCCTTTCAAATTAAAGTTTGCGTCCCAATAATGAATATTGTTGATTGTAAGTATCATATATAGTTGCCTAAACCTTAGGAAAATTTGCCATGTTACCTTACTGGGGCAGGCCTGTTTACTTGTTTGATTGGTCGAATATTAGTAGCTTTTATGAGCAAAATCAAGTGACAATTTGCTAACTAAGCCTCTTTTAGTTGCCTTAGTTGGACTCCCTTCGAGTTAAAATGCTATATTCTTTTAATTTTAGCTTTTTAAATTACAAAATTCCCCCTTAATTAAGTATTTGACAGAAACCTCGTATATAGATATAAAACAAAACTCTCCTTCTGAATCCCAAATGCCTTGATATTTTAAAAACGTTAAGGGAATTTCGAATACAATGGGGGAATTTGTAATATTCTTAAACTTTTGGATCGTTATTATAATTTCATGGTATCTCGTAAGGGTAATTATAATATATTCTAAATTTAATTAAGGGCTAAGAATTTATTAGTAATTTTATTGGTTGCATGGATTGTGGTCCCCTCAATTATTCGTAAAATTGAAGTATACAAACATATGGGAGATTTCGAGGGTTTTTCATCCTGTTCTTGTCAAAAAAAAAAAAAAAAAAATGAGTTAGGATTGAGTATATATTCAGGACTTCGGAGAGGATAATGTGCGTGGTGATCAAATAAAAATTCAATATATGGAGCTCTTATGGTATTGGGAGGGAGGTTATCTTAATTTATATCATGTGATTTAGTGTTCGATATGCATGGTGGAATTTAAAGGTTTATATTAAATTCCTTCATCTAAACCAAGCAATCATACTAGGGAATATTTAATGGCATCACTTCTTCCAAGGCAAATAAATCAATATTCTACACATCTCTATCATTTATTACATTTTTATTTTATTGTCAAATTAATCTCCAGTAGGACTTCCTCACTATTAAGCAAACTATCTTCCCTGAAGGCCCTTTCACATGACGATAACATGAATTGACTCTTTGTTGTATTTGTTTACTAAATACTTCGCATGCCCGACTAGTCTTTGCTATAGAAGCAAGCTAATAATTACATTAATTTATTTCCAAGAATAGTGACAGTACACCTTGCTCCTAAATATCATGAATTAATTGATCATTTGCCACGAATAATAAATTTTGTTAATTTAAGTGACTTTCAAGAGAGAAGGACCACGAACTCTAGAGTGAATAAATTTTGTTAATTGGTTGAAATTATAATATTTGTTATTTTAAAAAATGTTTTTTATCTAAAAAAATATAAAATAATATTTTTTACTATTTTTAAATTTTTTTAATACTAGTATATGGAAAACGATTTGAAAATAAAAAAATAATTTTAAAGAAAAATCAAACTCTTTGAAAACAGTGACAACAAACACCAGTTAAGACAAACCCTAAAATTCTGTTACACGGACATTTGGAGAGGAGGGATCGAGTTTCCGGCAAATTTAGCTCGCCAAGCCGATTAGAAAAGTGAGAGAACGGAAAAGGCAGCGCAGGCCAGATGTGTAGATATTAAGGTAATGTACGTGGGAGAAGTTGTTTTATCTGGTTGTGCTGCATAATTGGCCTTCTCTTCAGGTTAAAAGAAACGCCAAACTATTTTAAGAGAGTCGACAGCGAGTAGCTAGGGGTGGGGGCGGATATGGGAATCTGTTTTGTTAATAAGCTAACTTGATCTTTAAGCAATCCCCGTCACTTTCACCGAACTTCATGAAAGATCTCTTTCATTTCTAATTAGTCGCGAATGCGCGATACATCTTTGGCATTTTACACGATAGCCAAATCGCTCCACCGATCACCAGCTGATCAATCATGCATCTAAAGCTGTAGAATCTCCACGCTGATCATGCCCCCCCGGATGTGGGGCCTGTTTCTGTGTTAACGTGTAAGAATCATGAAAAGGCCAGCATGGTCATTTCACGGGATCTTCTAACCTTACTGCCCTGCCATTCCACCGGAAAAATATTCGGCCTCCTTTTTGGTTGGACATGCATATCTGTCTATCTATACAATTAGCAGGTATTTACATGCACGCGCGCATAGCCTGGCTATTTTTGATATCTTAGCTGGTTAGATCAATAATCCGGAGGCATTAATTGGAGATAGGTACTGATGTCCTGAGGGGTTAATGAGATGGCCCTCCTATATACACACAGACAGTAAAAAAAAAATAGTTTTGATTATTCCCACAACGAAGCTTTTGAGTTAGAATTTAGCCACAAAGCTAATAGCCTGGGTCGAGCTATCTTGAATAATACAACAATTTTTAAAATATAGTTTTGATTTATTTTGCCACCGTCAGCTTAATTAGTAAACTAATAAAGCACTTTCTGTGTGTGTGTGAGGGGGGGGGGGGATTAATAGAGCATTAACAGCAAATCAACGGTACTAATTGAAATTTAGAACACCCGCATGAATCTTGAGAGGTCCCTTCAATTCGTTCCGGTTTCGTCTTCGGCATACAGTCTGGACCCTCAGCGAGCGCCACATGTTTTGGTTCCACCGATTCTATTATTATTATTTTATTACACACACTCACACACACAAAAAATACTATATGATATTAAAAACATGACGATGTCACAATCATATCTCATCAATCATTTAATAATTGAAAACAACATACCCAGCACTGTATATGTAATTTTTTTAAGATTGGTTCCGAATACGGGTAGCCACCCCCCACCTCAATTACCATTAAGGAAGCGGCTAAGTTAATAGGAGATTGGTCGGCGCGTCCCGATCAAGGAATTCGAATATCATTTTAAATTTTGTACTCAAATTATTATTTATATCAGTCTATTATAATATTTAATACAAAACATTAAATAACGTCATTCTTTAAAGAAAAATAGTATAATTTGGATAAAAATAAGGATGAAGAACATGGATAAGGTCCTTCATAAAGAATTCTCGAAATTTTAATAGCTGGATGGTATTTTTATGGTAAAAAAACATAGATAAGATGCCCCACACTATCTCGTAAAGAATTGTGCCCCTATCACGCTACCATTTTATCTGGAAAGACACCGAGGCCAAAGTTTAAATCTTTTCAAGAATAGCTACGATCATATGTATACGGGAACATAGATATGTCACCAATTATAGGTAATAATAAGTGAAATAAGACATTTGAATGCTCTGTTATTGGTCATTTAAATACATTACACATATGCTTGAGATCTGGATTGGCCTCATAATCATAGACATTCACGACTAATTTACATGCTGCATGCGACATATTCTGGCCTTTTTTTCTTTCCATGCTGGTATTTTGAGATTTTATAATTTGTTGCTGTGTTAAAGACTTGTGAAAAAAAAACAAATCGAGT